TCGAGAGCGCTTCCCCTTTCCAGCCAGTCCGTCCTGGCTCAAAACCTTAATTCCGGGTCCCAGTTTGAGACTAGGACCTTGTCCATCCCTTTCTCTTATCAACAATTTTAGATATTTCAGATACATTTTTTTTATTCGGCAAGAGCAAACCAAAACATAAGCATTTGAAATACATCCTTCAATCTTCGAATTCAATCAACCCAACCAACCATTCCACAGTTATAGTATCAAAATACATTCAGCAGTGTCAGCCTGTAACTGAAAAATGAAGCTTTTATTAATCATCTTTTTCTAAATTATAATTCTTGGCACTACTAGTTATTGGTATCGTATAATCTCATTTCCCTCAAAATCCGTTAAGGTGATAGAACGAATTCTCCAAATTATATTTAGGCCATGTTTCCATTTTTTTGTTTCCATACATGTGAAGATCAGGTTTTCCTTTCAGTTATGATGATTTCTGATTCCTTTTAATACGTAAAGAATGTGTCTGCGTTTTAATTTTCAATGTTGGTATGATACATTGTCGAGATAGATGGTGCAAACCTTGTTGGAAGCTATATTGATCTCCAACAGAAATAAATGAATCGCCTCAGAGTTCGGCAGGGATTTCACAGGTTGTCTTTAAACCACTTTATGGCACCATTCGCAAGTGACCTGCAATTAAAACTTAGTCATCCTTTAGTTTTTTAACCAGCACATTAACAGTTTGACAGGGATTTCATAGGTTGTCTTTATACCACTTTAAGGCACCATTTGTAAGTGACCTGCAATTAAAACTTACAGTCATCCTTTAGTTTTTTAACCAGCACATTGATAACTTAGATTATAAACTGATCGATCATCTACCGAAAAGGGAACAAAATGCTAAGTGCTCATTTTGTGAACTCTATCTGACTAATGACAGTTTCAGTAAGATCTTTCACCACTAAATAATTTTATTGAACTAGCTAAATTGGCTGAGATAATGAAAATAAAAGTAGTACATGAGTAACATTTCTGGCTGACATTAATGAAAATGACAATTCTAGGTATATTGCAAGAGATTAAGTTTTTTATAATTTAATGAATATATATTAAGAGCAGCCTTGGTGCACCAGTTATGGTGTTGCTTACGAGCGGCCTTTTGTCAAAATGACAAGGGAAGAGCCCCTTATACACCCTTGTGGTGGGATACTTCCTTAGACCCTCGCCTTGCGGGGATGCCATTAAATAATACTCCCTCCGTATTGAAATGTAATACAATAGATGCATAATGAAGACGAAAGTAATCTTGCATTACGGAGAATGAACTGTACAGAGTAGTTATACAAGTCAAAGCCTTAAGAGACTTAGAACTGTCTGAACAGAAATATAATAGACTACTAACTGCTAAGCCATTACAAGGGTATGCTGGTACAATGTTCATACAGTATTCCTAACATTCCTGCCTCAAATTTAGGGTGATTGATTTGGAAAGTCAGCCATACTATGTTTGCTTCGCATTTCAAGAAATATGAAGGCAGATAGGGGCTTGGTTAAGACATCTGCCACTTGCTGAGGAGCAGGAATGTGAAAGACTTCAAGCTGCTTTAATTGAATCTTTTCTCGAACAAAGAAGAGATCAAGTTCCATGTGCTTAATATGAGAGTGCAACACTGGGTTATGAGCAAGTTGAACTGTGCTAAGATTGTCACAGTAAACTTTTGGAGTGACAAATGGAACTCGAAGTTCTCGAAGCAGAAATTGAATCCATAGAATTTCTGACATGGTGTCTGCAAGGCTTCTATATTCAATTTCTGCTGAACATCTGGCAAACACGCAACTGTTTTCTAGACCACCAAGAAATGATATTAGGAGCTAGAAAGATACAAGGCCCAGATGTAGATCTCCTATCAGTAGGATCAGATGCCCAATCAAAATCACAGAATGCTGAGATTGGTAGAGGCATAGTGGATAGAGGAAGAGGTTTAATGATCAATCCATGGGTAGTTGTGCTAGATAGATATCTTAGAATGTGTTTCACTACTTTCCAATTTTCTTGTAAAGGTGCAGCCATAAGCTGACACACTTTGTTCACAACATAGCTAAGTTCAGGTCTGGTTAAAGTAGCATATTGAAGAACTCCAACAGCAAACCTATAATAGGAAGGATCAAGAAGATAATCATTACCTTCATTGGTAAGGTAGCAGCTACTAACCATGGGTGTTTTAACTCCCTTGGAGTCTATCATTCCAATTTTTTGTAAAAGATCCCTAACATATTTAGCTTGGGAAAGATGCAAGCAACCATTTGAGAGTTTGCGAACTTCAATTCTTAAGAAGAAATCAATGTCTCCCAAATGCTTGAGGGAAAATGAAGAATGCAGTTTGTGAATGATTTGATGAATGAGAGTGGGGTTATTTCCAATGACTGAAATATCATCACCAGAGATTAGGATGTATATTTGAATACCAGAAGATAGAAAAATAAGCAAGGAAGGATCACACTTGCTTTGTTTGAACCCAACACTGTATAGAACTAAAATAAGCTTGTGATACCAAGCTCCGGGAACTTGTTTGAGACCATACAATGATTTTTGAAGTATGCAAACCAGAGAAGTGTCCTTCACCTGAAATCCAGGAGGCTGCATCATATAAACCTCTTCATCAAGTTCCCCATTCAGAAAGGCATTGTTGACATCAAGTTGTTGAATTGACCAATGATTGGAGATTGCAAGTGTGAGAAGAATTCTAATGGTAACGGGTTTAACTACCGGAGAAAAAGTTTTTCCAAAGTCAAACCAAACCTTTAACGAAAACCTTTGGCTACAAATCTTGCTTTGAATTTGTTTAAAGATCCATCTGAGTTTTCCTTGATTCTAAACACCCATTTGCAACCAATGGCTTGTTTACCTGGAGGAAGAGAAACTAGGGACCAAGTATTGTTAGCCAATAAAGCATCACATTCAAATTTCATAGCTGTAAGCCATGGTGGAGAAGAGAGAGCTTGCTTAACTGATGTGGGCTCAGTATGAGTTAATAAGGTGGGATTAAGTCTAGGTTTGACAATGGTAGATTTAGCTCTGGTTTGCATATGTTGAGTGTTAGTTAAAGGAATTGAAGGTGTAGAAGAAGAAGAGGGTACCAATGTGGTATTAGAAGCAGAAGTGTTAATAGCCAAGTCATGAGACACAGAAGGAGGTAATTCAGGCTGAGTAGAGGAATCATGACTTCATGAGACGCAGAATGAGGTGAATTAGGTTGAATGGATGAGTTATAAGAAATAGAATGAGATGGGGGAGCTTGAGATGCACTAGGGATGCTGATGATTGAGATTCAATAGTACTTGAAGAAAACAAAGACAAAAGTCCCGAAGACCTTCATGATAACTCGACCTCATCTCTCTCAGCCAATAATCCCCTAACCCCATATGCCTTATTATGCTCAGCCCTAGTCATATGGATCAATATACCTTGTATAGAGAGATCACGTAATGGACCTTTTGTTCTGTTCTCATCTAAATCAATATATTGACAAAAAAATCGATCCTCCTACAGAAAGTGAAGAGGCCAACCTTCTCTGATGGAATAGATGGGACTGTCTGATGCAGCACGCCTTTGTCTCCTCTCTCAATTCAGCTTACAAACCATTGGTTGGGGCTGCAAAGACCTCCACATCTGTCTGAAGCACCTATACGGGACCCGGTTAGCTTCCTAAATTCGGAGTCTCAAAGACTAGTTCTACCATTCTAAACATGGTTAGAATCTATCGGAGATACTTTAATCACTTTCGCACCGTTGCGGATGAACTTGCCATGGCCAGCTAACCAGTAGAGGACGAAGACTTCGCCATTCCAGCCCTGGAGGGTCTTCGTCCCAAGTTTGAAGCCATGAAAAACTCCATCCAAAAAGTTGATACTAGTTTTGAAGAACTCCACTCTCTATTGGTTGGATATGAAGATAAGCTACGTTGGAAGAAATTTTATCAGAAATCAGAACAAAAGTCAGCGACGTGGAAGTAATAAACCCGAACGCACCAATAATAACATGGGCGGGCAAACCAATTTTGGGAGTAATACCAATTCGGGTGTTGTCATTATATGTCAAATTTGTGGCAAATTGAACCATCTCGCTATCAACTGTTGGTACACGTTTGAACAACAAAATTTCCCCCAGCCCAATACTGCCACGACTAGGAAAAATGGATGCTTACTAGACTCGGGACTCGGGAGTAACCAATCATGTTACCAATAATTTAAATAACATTCTCTTGGCGTCAGACTATACCAGTATAGACTCTCTCATTATTGGTAACGGAAAAAGTCTTACAATTGCACAAGTTGGAAATATGACCCTTCATTCTCTATCCTTACCTAATACTCTTTTTGTCCCTTCTATTCATACTAATTTACTTTCAGTTGCCAAATTATGTCGTGACAATGATGTACTAATCGAGTTTCATCTTTCCTTTTGTCTTGTTAAGGACCGGACAACGGGGGCAATTTTGTAATGAGGTATGAATAAAGGTGACGCCTACCGCTTGCTTGATGTTCCTACAAAATTTTCTCTTAATAAATAGCATTGTCATTTAGCACATCTTGCCCTTCCCATCACTCAAATAATTATTCCCTCATTAGGTATTTCATTTAAAGATGTTAGTAAGGATATGTCCTTATGCACTTCATGTGTTAGAAATAGAGCAAGGTAGAAGAAGAAGGTTAAAATAGAAAGTGTACAGAGTATTTATAGAAGCTATAGTTGTAACTAACTGCAACTGATATAACAGAAGCCCAACTAATTCTAATTACAAAGTAATGTAAGTGTAGCTTTATGTACTATTCCTAACATTCCCCCCTCAAACTGAGGGTGATTGAACTAGAAAATCAATCACACTCAGTTTGCCTTTGAACTCAAGAAAAGTGGAAGCAGATACAGGCTTGGTCAACACATCTGCAATTTGTTGGTAAGCTGGAATGTGAAAGACTTCAAGCTGTTTGAGATGAACTTTCTCTCTGACAAAGAAAAGATCAATTTCCATGTGTTTTATGCGAGAATGTAGGACAGGATTGTGAGCTAGCTGAACGGTGCTGAGATTGTCACGGTAAATTCTTGGAGTGATAAAAGGAGCTTGAAGTTCTTTGAGTAGAAATTGAACCCATAAAAGTTCTGATGTAGTATCGGCTAGGCTTCTGTATTCAGCTTCAGCTTCAGCTGAAGATCTTGCTACCCTCAGTTGTTTCCTAGACCACCAGGAGATAATATTAGAGCCTAGGAAAATGCATGACCCAGAAGTAGATTTTCTATCTGTAGGATCTGATGCCCAATCAGCATCACAGAAAGCTGAGATTGGTAGAGGTATTTTTGTCAAGGGAAGAGGTTTGATGATCAGTCCATGAGTAATAGTTCCACATAGATATCTCAGTATATGTTTCACAGCTTTCCAGTGTTCTTGTAAAGGATTAGCCATGAACTGATACACCTTATTTACAACATAGCTAAGTTCAGGTCTAGTTAGGGTAGCATACCGTAGAATTCCAACAACAGATCTGTAATGAGAGGGATCAGGAAGAGGGTCACTCCCTTCATTGGTAAGCTTACAGGTACTCACCATAGGTGTTTTCACACCCTTAGAATCTGTCATTCCAACTTTGTGAAGAAGATCTCTGATGTATTTGGCTTGTGAGAGGTGCAAACAACCATTAGGAAGCTTTTTGACTTGGATTCCTAAAAAGAAATCAATATCTCCCGGGTGTTTGAGAGAAAAGGAACAGTGAAGGGTTTGAATGATGTGTTGGATAACTGTGGAATTATTGCCAATGACAAGAATGTCATCAACATAGATGAGGATGTAAATTTGGATCCCAGGTTTAAGGTATATAAGAAGAGAAGGATCACTCTTGCTCTGTTTGAAACCAACATTGTATAAGACTGAAGTGAGCTTGTGAAACCAAGCTCTTGGTATACCGATCAAGGCTTGGAGAAGTTTGGGAGAGAGGCGTCGAGTGGTTAACAAGTTTTTTCAACATGATTTGGAGAAACAACAAGATGCCAACGAGTTGGAGGAAGAGTACTTTTATCCCCTTATTTAAGAATAAAGGCAATGTACAAGAATGTGCCAACTATCGAGGGATTAAGCTTATGAGTCACACCATGAAACTTTGGGAGCGAGTGATTGAGCAAAGACTTCGAAGAACTGTGAAGATTTCAGAGAATCAATTCGCTTGTATGCCTGGTTGCTCAACAACTTAGGCCATTCACCTTCTTCGGCAACTTATGGAGAAGTATAGAGACGCTCATAAGGATCTGCATTTCGGGTTCATTGACTTAGAAAAGGCATATGATAGGGTACCTCGAGAAGTTCTTTGGTGGGCCTTAACTAGGAAAGGCATATCACGCAAGTATATCACCATCATCATGGATATGTATGAGGAATGTACTACAAGTGTCCATACTAGTGTAGGGAGGACTGAAGAGTTCCCTATTACTATCGGAGTGCACCAAGGATCGGCCTTGAGCCCTTTCTTATTTGCCATAGTCATGGATGAACTTACGAAGTCAATTCAAGACGATATAGCGTGGTGCATGTTGTTTGCCGACGATATTGTATTGATTGATGAGACGCAATCAGGTCTTAAAGCAAAGTTGGAAGTATGGCGACAAACATTGGAGAATAAGGGTTTCAAACTAAGTCGGAGCAAGACAGAGTACATGGAGTGCAAGTTTGGTGGAGGTAGAAGCAGTGGTAATAGCGGAATTACTCTGGATGGTAAGGAGATACCAGTCATTGATATGTTCCTTTACTTGGGCTCCATAATTCAGAAGGACGGTGAGTTAGATGGAGATGTATCCCATAGAATCAGAACATGGTGGATGAAGTGGAAGAGTGCGTCAGGAATTCTATGCAACCGAGGTATGCCGACTAGACTGAAGGGTAAATTTTATAGGACAGCAATTAGGCCTGCATTACTGTATGGCGTAGAGTGTCGGGCGGTGAAGCAATGCCACATTCAAAAGATGAGTGTGGCAAAGCTACGTATGTTGCGTTTGATGTGTGGACATACCATAAAAGACCGCTTGAGGAATGAGACAATCAGACAAAGGGTGGGAGTAGCACCTATTGAAGATAAGATGCGGGAGTCACGGCTACGGTGGTTTGGTCATGTGCGTAGAAGATCGAGTGATGCACCTATCAGACGAATTGAGATGTGTGGATCAGAGGCAGGGAAGAGAGGGAGAGGAAGACCCAAACAGGCGTGGGTTAGGGGAGTTCGAAGTGATATGCTTCTTCTGGGGTTGGATGAGGGCATGACTTTGGAGAGAACTAAGTGGAGGGCGGGTATTCGCGTGAAGGAGTGATCTCGTATAATCTTTTTCCTTCATCTTTTTTCCTTGTTTTTTATCCTTATATATATAAGCATTATTTGTAGCCTTTTTATTTTATAATTTTTATGTATATTCATCTCTTTTTATATTATCTTTTTATAATAGCTTATCTTTTTTATCTTTATTTTCTTTCTTTTCCTTTTGGTTGTGATATCATGTATCGATTCATGTTAGCCAACCCCAATATCTTTTGGGACTAAGGCTTGGACGTTTTTGTTGTTGTAATGATACGCTTTCGTTCCTTGTTCATTTTCACCTTCTTATATGCTTATGGTTTCATGAATGTATGTCTGCATCACGAGTGGACCGAGGGCTAAGCACTTAGGACTTAGAAAATTTTCTAAGTGATGTTTACCACTAGGCCCTCGGTTGGAATCTCCTTTTAGTCGTGTGGACATAGCCATTTCAAGGGTAATGTTATGAACATGCCCTCAGCTGATATCATCCCTTAGTATGTGATGCCCTTGATTTGTATTAGTCTTGGGCAAAGTCTCCCTTAGCAGGGTATGATGGTGCCGGGGGCACTTAATTCATGGACTTAAAAAATGTGAAAGACATTATAGAATATTCTTTAGAATATGTTTTAGAATATTCTTCTATCTTTAGAATATGCTTTAGAATATTTTAGGAATATACTCTAGGATATTATTATTGTATAGAATCTTAAAGGAATATTCTATCTTTGTAATGTATATATATATGGGCTTGACCCTCCAATGAAAGACACACAAAAATCATTCTTCTCATTACTATTCTATCTTTAATTCTTACAACATGGTAACAGAGCAATCTGTTCCAGTTTAGCTTAGCAGTATTTTCAGAATCTCAGTTCATGCCTCAGCCAGAACCTTAGCCCAAAATTCAGAACCTCGGTCCAAAATCCACAGTTTCACAGAGCATCACCTCTACCCTAAGCAGTCACACCTTCCGCCGCCGACCTTACACTCGAAATCCGCAGGCCACACGCGCCGTCAGAGGACCTCGCAGACCTAATCGCAGACCCAATCGCCGGAGAATCCATCGGAACTATTTTCCGGTGTCTTGAACGGTATTATCTTTCTGTGACTTTGCTTATTAAGTAACAACGACATTCAAGGATAGTATTTTGGTCGCTGTAAGTTTACTTAATACATAGCATCTTATTTCTGCAATTAAAAAAAAAGGTCAAAAAAAAGTCAAAAAAAAATGCATGGTTCTGATACAGACACTTCCACCGTACAACATGCTCAGCCTTTGGTAGTTTCCGAAGTTATTCCCATTAATTTTAAAATTACTGAGAATAAACTTTGTGGCTCTAACTATCTTGAATGGAGTAAAACTATCAAACGTTATTTACGAAGCATTGATAAATACACCCACTTAGTTGATGACCCGCCAAAGGAGGAGATTGATAGAGTTGCTAATGCTGTCTGGCTTCGTGATGATTCTAGATTATTTATCCAGATTCAGAACTCCATGGAGAATGACGTCATGGGGTATGTTAGTCATTGTGATACTGTGAAAGAACTCTTTGATTATTTGGAATTTATGTATTCTGGCAAAGGTAATCTTAACCACATCTATGAGGTGTGCAAAGCCTTTTACAGGGCAGAAATGAAAGATAAGCCTCTCACATCTTATTTTATGGATTTCAAGAAAACGTATGAAGAACTTAATACCTTAATGCCCTTTAGTCCTGATATCAAAGTGCAGCAGAAACAACGCGAACAAATGGCAGTCATGAGCTTTTTGGCCGGTCTTACGTCTGATTTTGAAACAGCCAAATCACATATCCTATCTAGTGATGTGGTCTCTTCTCTTCAAGATGCTTTCAGTAGAGTGCTTCGCACTGACACTTCATCCACATCATCGGCACCTCAGCCAAGCAATGCTTTTGTAGGGCAAGTCTCAACATTCCCCAATGGAGGTGAGAAGTGGCCACGCACAGGACCGATTGGCAAAGGAGTAGTATGCAACTACTGTAAGAAACCCGGACACTTGATCAAAGATTGTCGAAAGCTAAAGTTCAAAAATCAAGGAAATCAAGTCGCTCACATTGCTTCCGCTACACAGCCATCTAATGGATCCATCATTATGTCTTCGGAGGAATATGCCAAATTCCTAGGTTACCAGGAGGCTCTAAAGCATTCATCTACTCCTATCTCAGCTGTAGCTAATTCAGGTAATCCAAACACATGTCTTGTATCTTCATCCTCAAAATGGGTTATCGATTCAGGAGCAACAGATCATATGACAGGTAATCCTAGTCTTTTTTCCTCATTCCACACACCTCTTCATACTTCTAGTGTGACTTTGGCTGACGGATCTACGTCACCCGTTCTTGGTACGGGTACAATTGTCCCAACATCTACCTTACCTTTGTCACCCGTCCTACGTCTTCCAAATTTTGCTTTCAATTTGATTTCGATCAGCAAAATCACACGTAAACTTAATTGTTCCGTAACCTTTTTTCCTAGATATTGTGTATTTCAGGATCTGTTGACGAATCAGGTTATTGGTAAAGGATATGAGTCGGCCGGTCTCTATGTAAAACTTGAGATTTAATTTAAATGGATTAATAGTACTACTCATACCAACAGAGGTGCATCTCCTTTTAAGGGAGCTCATCACCCAAGAACTCCAAAGTTAAGCGTGCTTGCACAGGAGTAGTCTTGGGATGGGTGACCCCCTGGGAAGTTTCTCAGGGCGCGCACGAGTGAGGACAAAGTGCGCGGTAAAGGCTTGTGGTGGTTTGTGAGGACAGTACTAGAGGTCAGAAGTAACTACCTCAGGGCCTGTGGGGTCGGGGTGTTACAGGTGGTATCAGAGCAACCCTGCGACAGTGTGCTGATCCGTTGGATATCGGGCGGGCACTTAGTAGGGGAAAAGATTCTGGGATATGATTGAGATTGGTTTATGGGCGCAACGAGGACGTTGCGTTCCTAAGTGGGGGTGATTGTAAAACTTGAGATTTAATTTAAATGGATTAATAGTACTACTCATACCAACAGAGGTGCATCTCCTTTTAAGGGAGCTCATCACCCAAGAACTCCAAAGTTAAGCGTGCTTGCACGGGAGTAGTCTTGGGATGGGTGACCCCCTGGGAAGTTTCTCAGGGCGCGCACGAGTGAGGACAAAGTGCGCGGTAAAGGCTCGTGGTGGTTTGTGAGGACAGTACTAGAGGTCAGAAGTAACTACCTCAGGGCCTGTGGGGTCGGGGTGTTACACTCTATCTCTTGGATACATCCTTACCCAAATCAATCTCTTGTCTTGGAATTGGAACTGTGTTAGAGGCTCACTATCGACTAGGTCACCCTTCTCTTCCGTTGTTAAAGAAGCTTTATCCTCAATTCAATAAGGTGTCATCTTTACAGTGTGATTCGTGTCAATTTGCAAAACATCATCGAAGTAGTCTAAGTCCTCGAGTCAATAAACGAGCACATGCTCCTTTTGAACTGGTTCATTCTGATGTTTGGGGTGCTTGCCCTGTTGTGTCCAAATCTGGTTTTAAATATTTTGTTACCTTTGTTGATGATTATTCTCGTATGACTTGGATTTATTTCATGAAACGTCGTTCCGAGTTATTTTCTCATTTTTGTGCCTTTTGTGCTGAAATCAAAACTCAATTTAATGTACATGTTCGTATTTTAAGGGGAGACAATGCTCAAGAGTATTTGTCTGCCTCATTTAAGTTGTATATGGCTCAACATGGCATAATTCATCAAACTTCATGTGTAGACACACCTCCCCAAAATGGAGTTGCTGAACGAAAGAACAGACATCTATTAGAAACTGCGCGGGCTCTTCTATTCCAAATGAATGTGCCAAAACATTTTTGGGCAGATGCTGTGTCTACCGCATGTTTTTTGATCAATCGAATGACATCTACTGTTTTAGATGGTAAAACTCCATATCAGTGCCTATTTCCAAATAATGAAAATTTTCCTATTCCTCCTAAAGTTTTTGGTTGCACTTGTTTTGTACGAGATGTTAATCCCCATTTAACAAAGTTAGATCCCAAGTCATTAAAGTGCATTTTCTTAGGCTACTCTCGAGTTCAAAAGGGGTAAAGATGTTTTTCTCCAAGTACAGGTCGGTATATTGTTTCAATTGATGTCTTCTTTTATGAAAATACACCATTTTCATCAACAGACACAAATATCTGTAGGGAGAATGATGGTATACTCATTTACACAGTCACTATACCCGAGTCCAATACTTCAGCAGTTCTTCCCCATGTTACTTTTCCTGAGCCTAGGCCTCCGATACACTTGGTATACACCCGTCGACACAAAGTGCAAGATCACCCTCCACCTGTGGTTACTTCTCCTGATACTGATCCGATGTCATATCCTGAACCGACACCTGCATCTTCAGATCCTGTCTCTACATCAGATCTTGATCTCCCCATCGCACTACATAAAGGTACACGGTCTTGTACTCATCCTATTTCTTCATGTGTGTCGTATAATCAGTTATCATCTGCCTCATGTTCTTTTATTGCTTCCATTGATTCTATTTCTGTTCCCAAATCTGTTAAAGATGCTTTGTCTCATCCTGATTGGCGTCATGCCATGGTAGAGGAAATGAATGCTTTGGATCTTAATGGTACCTGGGATTTGGTAGACTTGCCTACAAGTAAGAAGTCTATAGGATGTAAGTGGGTCTTTGCTGTAAAGGTTAACCCTGACGGATCCGTTGCTCGATTGAAAGCCCGATTAGTTGCGAAGGGTTATGCTCAAACCTATGGCGTTGATTATTCTGACACATTTTCTCCTGTTGCTAAATTAACATCTGTGAGATTACTTATTTCTCTCGCAGCAACTCATGGTTGGCACTTACATCAATTGGACATTAAGAATGCATTCTTGCATGGTGATCTTCAGGAGGAAGTTTATATTGAGCAACCTCCGGGGTTTGTTGCTCAGGGGGAGTATGGGAAAATTTGTCGACTTCGCAAGTCTCTTTATGGTTTGAAACAGAGTCCCCGTGCATGGTTCGGGAAATTCAGCCAATCAATTGAACGATTTGGGATGATAAAAGGCAAATCAGATCACTCTGTATTTTACAGACAAACGAAAACAGGTATTACATTGCTTGTGGTGTATGTCGATGACATTGTGATTACAGGGAGTGATAATACAGGTATTTTGGCCCTAAAGAATTTTCTTCATAGTCAATTCCAGACGAAAGATTTGGGCTCATTGAAATACTTCTTGGGAATTGAGGTTACACGGAGTAAGAAAGGCATATTTCTATCTCAACGTAAATATGTGCTTGACTTACTAACTGAAACAGGGAAATTGGGGGCAAAACCAAGCAGTACTCCCATGATTCCCAATGTACAACTCACTCATGAAGGTATGTCATTCGAAGATCCGGAAAGATATAGACGGTTGGTTGGAAAACTTAATTATCTCGCAGTTACCCGTCCAGATATTGCATACTCAGTGAGTGTAGTAAGTCAATACATGTCATCTCCGACAGTGGATCATTGGAATGTTGTAGAGCATATATTATGTTACTTGAAGGGGACACCGGGATGAGGTATTGTTTATCAGAATCATAATCACATGAGAATAGAATGCTCTGCAGATGCTGATTGGGCTGGATCTAAAGATGATAGAAGATCCACATCTGGCTATTGCGTCTTTGTTGGTGGTAATCTCGTCTCTTGGAAAAGTAAGAAGCAGAATGTGGTTTCTCGTTCGAGTGCTGAATCAGAATATCGGGCTATGGCACAATCGGCATGTGAGATAATATGGATAAACCATTTATTGAGTGAAATGGGATTGAAGACACCAATGCCTGCAAAACTCTGGTGCGATAACCAAGCTGCTATACACATTGCCAACAATCCAGTGTTTCATGAGAGAACAAAACATATTGAGATCGATTGTCACTTTGTTCGAGAAAAGATACAACAAGGATTGATCTCTACAGGGCATGTGAAGACTGGAGAGCAACTTGGAGATTTGTTCACTAAAGCACTAAATGGAATTCGTGTTGGTTACTTATGTAACAAGTTGGGCATGATAAATATTTATGCTCCAACTTGAGGAGGAGTGTGAAAGACATTATAGAATATTCTTTAGAATATGTTTTAGAATATTCTCCTATCTTTAGAATATGCTTTAGAATATTTTAGGAATATACTCTAGGATATTATTATTGTATTGAATCTTAAAGGAATATTCTATCTTTGTAATGTATATATATGGGCTTGACCCTCCAATGAAAGACACACAAAAATCATTCTTCTCATTACTATTCTATCTTTAATTCTTACAACAAAAAATTTCCATTGAGTTTGCAACTAGCAGCCCTCTGTAGAAATGCGGAGTTAGTGAACCTCTGTCTTACTCGTAGACTAGGAGCCTCCGGTGTGGATTGTGGTGCTTGAGGCTATAGGAGTGTGGATTTAGGAAATTTGAGCTCATGTCTGTGAGCAGACGCCTTCGATAATATATAGTAGGTGCCCTCGATCCTTGTTGAGCATATGAGCTCTCGGCATTGATGAATCCCAAAGTGTGGACTTAGGAATTCTGTAGCCCAATCACCTCATAGTAGGCCCCCTCGATCCATGTTGCCTACTTGAAGGCTATCCTACAGGAGCCTTCGGTCCATTTGTAGGATTAGGGCCTTTGGTGTTGAATGATGCCGGAGGCTGCCAGAGTGTGGACTTAGCCAATTTTTGGTAATACTTTTTGAATAGGATTTGAAAGCAATCTTCTTTTTGGCCGCCGAAGGCTGTTCCATTGTAAAATTGGTACTCCTTGATTGCTCGTTGAGTCTACTCCCTTCACCCCTCCCTTTTTGGAATCATGAAGGGAAGGCTTCAAAAAACTTGGTTTCTTAGTAAGGCTTGGCCTATGCGGGAGGCAACGGAACAAACCGTCGGCTCCCCCCTCAATTTACCTTCTGAGATCCCGAGGGGTTTGAGGGTCGTTTCCTCGGCCTGAGACATCGTCTGTTGTATGCCTCCCCTTGAGGGATGGAGCGGAAAGCGCCTCGGTTTTGAAAGTCGTCCCCTCAGCCCGAGACATAGTATGTTGCCTGCTTAACCTTGGGGGATAGCGTGGGGAGTGTTTCGTTTTTGAAAGTCGAATCCTGGGCCCGGGACATGGTCCGTTGCCTGTCTCCCCTTGGGGATGGCGCGGAAGCGTTTCAGGGAAGGGTTTTATTTGTGTGTGAAACACAAATGGCCGGGGGTACTTGGTATTGTACCCCTGGTCTTTTTTTTTAAAGTATGCATGAGTATGCACAATGCATGTATGAAGGCGCCCTCGAGGGGAACGGCTTCAAAACACTTGGTGTTTTTAAGAGTTTAAGGGCGTATTATGCGTATCTTGCACTTGATACTTTTGTAGCATGTTGCGTTTTTAGCCTCATGAAAGGAAGAGGCATTGGGTCGTTCATCGCCTATACTGGTGAGTGATGAGGGCTTGGCCGCTCATTCGTACTTAGTACTCTATGTTTGAACACATTCATTCTTTTGAAGGGGCCTTGGGCCGTTTGTGAAATACACAGGTGATGAGGGCTTCGCCGCTCGTATATTATTGATAGAATTTGACTAAGTGATGTATGTTCCAATGCCCGGGGACTTCGGTCCCGTTGGGGTGCTTCAACTTGTATGTTCATGGTTTGATGATGGTCGTGACGATGTATGGCCCTTCGAACTTTGGTGCCATTTTGCCGCCTTCGGTGGGCTGACTGGCCTCCTTCCTTTGGAGGACGTAGTCCCTCACTTGAAATTCTCGGGAACGGACCTTGGCGTCGATGTATCCCTTTACTTTCCGTCTGTAGTTTTCCGCCCGCATGAAGGCCTGCTCTCGACGCTCGGATATGAGGTGAAGGTCGAGGGCCATGTTGGCGTCGTTGACCTCAGGTTCGTATTGATCTACCCTTCGGGTGGGGAGAGTTACCTCAGTGGGAGCCTTGGCTTCGAATCCATAGCACAGGGAGAAAGGTGTTTCGCCTGTTGCTCGCCTAGGGGTGGTGCGTTAGACCCACAGGATGTTGTGGAGTTCTTCTACCCAGTCTCCCCTTTCGGCTTCCAGCTTCTTCTTTAGCCCTTCCAGCAGAGTTCGGTTGGCGTTCTCCATTTGTCTGTTGCCTTGGGGGTAGGCAACTGATGAGAAGGTGTGTTTGATGCCCCACGCCTCTAGGAGGGCGTGGAAGGGAGCTGCCTCAAAGTGAGTTCCATTGTCGGAGATGCTGGCGAGGGGCTCTGCTTCCACCCACTTGGTGAAGTAGTCTATGGCCACAATGATGTACCTGTTGTTAGAGGTACCCCTCGGCAAAGGGCCTACCAGGTCGATGCCCCATCTGGAGAAGGGTATGACGGTGCTGATGGGGGCGTAGTTGACTGTTGGTCTGTCGGGGGCCTTCTGAAAGTGTTGGAATGCGATGCACCTTCGGGCAAGATTTGCACAATCCCGGGCCATTGTGGGCCAGAAATAGCCCTAAACTATGAGCCTTCGAGACATGGAGAAGGGTCCCTGGTGAGCCGAGCACTTGCCACTGTGCACTTCCTCCATCGCGACATCGGCCTCATCTTGATGAAGGCACCGGAGTAAGGTGCTGTTGTAGGATCTTTTATAGAGCTTCCCGTTCTCGATAGTGTAGCTGGGGGCCCTCAGCTTCGCTAGTTTTGCGCGGGCCTCATCCTCGGGCAGCTACCCTGCGGTGGTGAAAGTGATGATGTCGGAGATCCAATCCTCCAACCTTACACGCAAGTCCATGATGGGGCTCGCGTGTATGCTTGAGAGGCTAAGTTCTTCAATCCTCGCGATCTTGGAGAGGTGCTCCGGAGATTCATCCGAGAGTTTCTACAAAATGTCGGCCTCATAGTTTTGAGTCCTCGGTATCTGAGTGAGAGAGTGCGCCTCAAATACCTTAAGCAACTCCTTGACCGTTTCTTTGTATTGCTTCATCCTTCCTTCCTTCGCCTCATATTCGCCAGAAAGTTGGCCGACCACTAACTTGGAATCACACTTTACATGGATCATCCTTGCCCTGAGGTTGGCCGCTAGCCGAAGGCCACAGAGGAGGGCTTCATACTCCGCTTCGTTGTTGGAAACTTTGAAGGAGAAGCGGATGGCATAGTAGGCGCGGAAGCCTTCGGGTGTGATGAGAACTACGCCTCCCCCGCATGCCTTTGATGTCGAGGAGCCGTCTGTTTAGAGGGTCCACCACTGATCCAAAGGTGTCGGGGGTTCTTCGTCCACTGCTGATCTTGTCGTGCACTCCGTAACGAAGTCCGCCAGGGTTTGGCGCTTGATGGCGGGCCTCGGACGGATGTCTATATCGTATTGGCTGAGGAAGATGGCTTATTTCACCATTCTGGAGGAGCTGGTGGGGCTCCTCATGAGAGCGCCGAGAGGTTGGTGCGTGAGCACTTGTAATGGGTGAGCTTGGAAGTAGTGCCCTAGCTTTTTGACAGTCCAAACGATGGCTAGCACCGTTTTTTCCACGGGGGAGTACCTGAGTTCTACCTCCCTGAGGGTATTGCTGACGTAGAAGATGGCATGTTGGATGTCGTTTTCCTCCCGGATGAGCACTGAGCTGATGGCGGCAGGGCTAGCGCCAAGGTAAAGATATAGGGTTTGTCCCACCTTAGGTTTTGAGAGCACAGGGGTGAAGATAAATACTGTTTCAATTCGTCGAAGGCCTCCTGGCACTCTGATGTCCATTCGAAGTCGGCTGTCTTCCTCATGATTTGGAAGAAGGGAAGGGCTTTCTCCGCTGATTTGGAAAGAAAGCGGTTTAGGGTTGTCAGGTGACCCGTCAACCTTTGTACTTCCTTGACGTTGCGTGGGGGCTCCATGTTGATGATGGCCTGGATTTTATCGGGGTTGGCCTTGATACCCCTTCGGCTCACCATGTAGCCTAAGAACTTCCCTCCTTGCACGCCGAAGGTACATTTCTTTGAGTTTAACCGAAGGTTAAACTTCTGCATGATGGCGAATATCTCCCGGAGGTCATCAGTATGGCTTGATGCTCGCTTACTTTTGACGATCATGTAATCAACATAAGCCTCCATGGTGCGCCCTAGGACGGCTTGAAAGACTCTGGCCACCATCCGGGTGTAAGTGGCACCTGAATTCTTCAGGCCGAAGGCCATAACCAGATAGCAGAAGATGCCTTTGGGTGTCATGAAGGTTATCTTTTCCGCGTCTTCCTCGGCATGTAGATCTGGAGATACCCGCGGAAAGCATCGAGAAATGACATGATTTCACAGCCTGCTGTCTCATCTACCAATTGATCAATGTTTGGTAAAGGGAAAGGATCCATAGGGCATGTCTTATTCAAGTCGGTGTAGTCCACACACATGCGGAAGGTTGGTGGCTTATGTGCAAGGACCACATTAGCCATCCATGAGGGGTATTTCACCTCCCGGATGTGTTTGATGGAGAGGAGCATGGAAACCTCCTTCTTCACGAAGTCCCTCCTATCGGCCGAGAGGGGCCTTCTTATCTGTTGTACTGGTTTGGCCGAAGGGTCCACCGTCAGGCGGTGAGTGATGACCCTTCGGTGGATCCCCATGCAAAAACAATGGAGTTGGCACGGAGGGCTTCGGTGATGCCGGTCTTCAAGTCTTCGGGGAGCTTGGCTCCAATCTTCAAGACTCTCTCCGGCTTGGTCGGATCGAGTACAAAGTCTTCTGTCTCTTCGGCAGACTCAGCCCTCGGCCTGCCTTCTTCCTCGTTCAAGGCGGCGATGATTGTATCAACGCGCAGTTCAATTTTACTAACCTTCTTTGTGAGTTGAAGGTAGCAAGCCCAAGAGAGCTTTTGATTCCCCCTCGAGTAACCAATGCCACTGGGTGTGGGGAACTTGCGGCAGAGGTGCCTCATGGAGATGACGGCATCCAAATCCTCGAGGGCGGGTCGTCCGAGGATGTTGTTGTGGACGCAGTCAAAGTTGACGACGACGAATTCCACTTCGAGCTTGGCCCTATGGAATCCGTCGCCGAAATCAACCATCAAAGAAATGACGCCCTCGGCGTAGATGGTGTCCCCTATGAACCCGGAGAGAGGTGTTTGGATCCGCCGAAGAGATCCCATATCGAGCTCCAGCTCCCGAAAAGTACTGAGATACATAACGTTGACAGAGCTACCTGTGTCAACATAGGTACGGAGGATGATGGTGTTGTTGATCTCTGTCTGGATGAAGAGGGCATCCCTATGAGGAAGAGAGCCTGGGGGCATATCCGCATCTGTAAAGAAGATAGGATCCGCACTCGGCCTCTTAGTTGGGGGCATATGATTGACCTCCCCAACGTAAAGGGATTGTGCCCACTTCTTCCTTTGGCTCATGGAGTCCCCACCGGTGTTGCCTCCATTGATCATGTGGATGTGGCGCTTGTACTGGTGCTCTGGGTTAACCCACTTGTTTGCCCTCGGTGGAGGCCCTTGGTGATGAGGGGGTCCTTGAGGAGGAGGGCCCCTGACGAATTGGGACAAATGGCCCGCCTGTATCAGTCTCTCAATGGTTGCCTTTAGATGATGGCAGTCATCAGTCTTGTGCCCCTGATTGCGATGGAAGCGACAGTAAGGTTCGTTGGGATTGATGGCATATACCTCAAGGGGTGCACGCGAATCTCGCTCCACGAGGCCTCTTTCCTCCGCGTAGTCCAAGATAACGCTGATGGGATGCGTTAGAGGGGTGCGTGGGTGCTCCAGGAGGGTAGGTTGGGTCCACGCCCTCGGATTATTCTTGTAGCCGCCCCGGGTCTGGTTTGGCCATTCCGGGGCCGGTTATTGTACGGTACCTCACGGTTTGCCGAAGGGGGTGGCCCCCTGGGGCGATTTCTGTCTTCGTGTTTCTGTGAAGGCTCCGGGTTGCGACGATCTTTCTCGATCTCCTCGGCCTCGGCATATCGGTCCCCTCGCTGGAGGGCCTTCGTATAATCGCGGGGGGGTCAGTAATAAGGCTCCTTGAGAAATTACCGTTGTGGAGGACGGTGTGGAATAGGGCCATCAGCGTCCTATCGTCGATGCCATCGACTTCGATGGAGGTTTGCCTCCAACGTTCTAGGAAACTCCGAAGGATTTCCTCCTTCTATTGCCTTACGTTCAGAAGGTGGGAGAAATGTTTCTTTGACTGGTGCCTCCCGGCGAATTGTGTTAAGAAATGGTGGGCAAGTTCTTGCCACGAATCAATGTTGCCTTCGGGTAACCGGTTGAACCATTCATATGTCGGTCCCTCCAAGGTGGAAAGGAACCAGCGGCATAAATATTTATCCGATGCCCCCACCATCATCATGTTGTTCTGGTACCTACTGTAGTGCTCCTGGGGGTCGGTCTTCCCTTCATAGGGCTTGATGGGTTGCCCTCGATATTTTCCCGGGATCTGGGCCGCCAATACCCTTAGGGTAAACGGCGTCCTTTTCCGGAGCTGGATGACGGGTTCCCCGGAACTTTCGGTAATCTTCTGCTGCATTTCATCAATTCTGGCCAGCATGGCCTCATACTTAGGATCCGCAAGGGAGGCGGAAGTGGTTGTGTGAACCTGGCGGGCCTCCATTTCGTCGAGGCGGCGTTGGAGGGCCTCAATAATCTCGTCCCTGTAATCCTTTGGGAGGGCCTCCGCCCCCCGCGATTGTACGCGGGCCGAGTGAGCCTGGTTGATTCTGTGTCTGGCGTCATTGGCGTGGAGTGGTCCCTTGCGTTTGTCCTGAGGAGGATGTCTCTCGTCTGCCCTCGATACAGATCCCCCTGTCACGGACTTGTTTCCTTAACAAGCTCACGTGCGGCCTTAGCTCCTTTCCGCCCCTTGCAGTAGCTAAGTTAGCCTAGACAACGCCTTAGTGTTGTGTGTGCTAACTGCTAAGTGCTTGGCTAGAAGGAAATGTGGTAAAGGCAAGAACACTTGAAGAAAGCTCAAGACTTTATTGAATGCTTGGAAACTTCGATGTGTACAAATGAACCACCTTGAAGGGTATTTAAACTTGCCCTCCTCCTCAAAGGATGGTTGAGATCTATTTGATCTAACGGCTATGTTTTAATTCTACAATATTCTATATTTCTATACAACTCTATCATATTCTAGAGTATTCTACTATACTCTATACAAGTGTACATGTATCTACACGAGTCACCTGGCCACGGTTATGTCGTGGCATAATTATATGCCATGCCGCGGCGTATAAGCCTGCCATACCGCGGCATTACTGAAAAAATTGGGAGACTCGTGACATTCTCCCCCACCTAACTTGGCGACGTCCTCGTCGCCTTGTGCGCCTCGAGCTTGTCCCGGAACTGCCGCAAGTCTTCTTCAGGTTCCCACGTTGCTTCCAACTCAGGTAGTCCCTTCCATTTGATCAAGTAATGATTTTGGCGTGGAACGCCCCTCTTTCTAACCTCCTTTGTTGCGAGCACGTCTTCAATCTCTTTGTCGTAAGACTTAGTAACTACAGGCTGTGCTCGGCTTGATAACCCTCGGCTTGGGTCTTCCTCATCCCCATGATATGGCTTAAGCATACTTACGTGGAAGACCGGATGAATCTTCAATGTGCTAGGTAGGTCGAGCTTATAAGAAACTTTTCCTACCTTAGCAATAATCGGGAATGGCCCCTCATATCGATGGACTAGGCCTTTGTGTAAGGTTCTCAATACCTTGAATTGTTGTGGTAAGAGCTTCACAAAGACTAAGTCCCCCACAGTGTACTCCTTTGGCCGCCTCTTCTCGTCTGCCCACTTTTTCATCCGTTTGCGTGCTTTCTCTAAATACGAACGAGCTAGATCGGTTTGTTCTTCCCAAGACTTCGCCATCTAGAACGCTCCCGGGCTCTTCCCATCGTGGAGTGGTGTGGCCAAAATGTGTGGAGTCAATGGTTGTTGCCCCGTTACAAGTTCAAATGGACTCTGTCCCGTAGACTCATTCCGCTGCAAGTTATATGAGAATTGGGGTATGTCCAAGAGTCTTGCCCAATCTCGTTAGTTGGCACCTACAAAGTGCCGAAGGTAACACTCTAGCAAGGCGTTCACCCGTTCGGTTTGCCCATCGGTTTGAGGGTGAAATCTTGTAGAGAAGTTGAGTTGTGTCCCAAGCAACTTAAACAACTCGGTCCATAGTCGGCCCGTGAAGCGGTGGTCTCGATCACTCACTATGCTCCTTGCAAGCCCCCAATACTTCACCACGTTCTTGAAGAACCCCCGTGCTGCCTCCTCCGTTGTGCAATCTTTCATGCATGGGATGAACGTCCCATACTTAGAAAATCGATCTATCACCACCATGATAGATCCAAACCCCTCGGACTTCGGCAGGGCACTAATGAAGTCCATAGAAATAGAGTCCCACGGTCGTTCGGGAATGGGCAATGGCTCCAGCAGACCCGCGGGTTGTCTATTCTCCACTTTGTCTTGTTGACACACAAGACAGGTCTTCACATAAAGCTCCACCGTGTCCCTCATCTGTGGCCAAAAATATGTGGTCTCGACAAGTGCTAGGGTGCGTTTTTGGCCGAGATGACCAGCCCACTTTGTGTCGTGGCACTCCTTGACGAGATCTCTTCTTAAACTCCCCCATTTTGGGACATAAAGACGACGCCCCTTTGTGTAGAGAAGGCCGTCCTCTTCCCAAAACCGTTGGGTTTTGCCCTCCTTGGCTAGCTTCATCAACTCCTTAGCCATGGGGTTGCGTTCAAGTCCCTCCTTGATGCGCCCGAACAAGTCCCCCTCTGCTTGACTAATGGCTGCGAGCTCCGCCTTCCTACTAAGTGTGTCGGCTACAACATTGGCTTTCCTCGGCTTATACTCCAAAGTGTAGTCGAACTCCGCTAAGAAATCTTGCCACCTAACTTGCTTAGGTGACAACTTCTTTTGAGTTTGAAAGTAGCTCGTTGCCACATCGTCTGTCTTGATGATGAAGTGTGCGCCTAAGAGGTAGTGTCTCCACACGTGCAAGCAATGAACCACCGCGGTCATCTCCTTCTCTTGCACGGTGTAACGCCGCTCTGTCTCGTTCAACTTGCGGCTCTCGAATGTTATTGGATGCCTCTCTTGCATCAAAATTCCTCCAATGGCAAATTCGGAGGCATCGGTTTGTACTTCAAATGGTTTGCCAAAGTTCGATAAAGCTAGAACCGGCTCTTGGCTCACCGCGGCCTTCAGGTCATCAAAGGCCTCTTGAAATAGGTCGGACCATTCCCAAGTTTTCCCCTTCTTGAGTAGGTCCGTCAAAGGGGCTGCCCTCTTAGAATATCCCTCGATGAACCGCCGGTAATAATTTATCAAACCAAGGAATGAACGTAATTCGGTTACCTTGGTTGGTGCCTCCCATTACACGATTGCCTTGATCTTCCCATGTCCATCATGAGCTTCCCATGTCCAATGATGTGACCAAGAAAGTGTACTTCCTCCGTGGCGAACATACATTTCTCCTTCTTGACATAAAGCTCATTCTCTCGGAGTACTCGGAAGATAATGCGTAGGTGTTCCACATGTTCCTCCATTGAGTTGCTCTAAAACCACGATATCGTCCAAGTACACCACAAGAAACCGGTCTAAATAGGGTTGGAAGATCTTGTTCATGAGTGTGCAAAATGTTGTTGGTACATTGGTTAGTCCAAAGAGCATGACTAACCATTCGAACGAGCCATAACGCGTAACACATGCGGTCTTAGGCTCATCTCCCTCCGCTATTCGTACTTGGTAGTAACCTTTTTGTAGATCCATCTTTGTATATATCTTGGCCCCACCAAGTCTATCAAATAGGTTGGCAATCAAAGGGATAGGATAGCGGTTCTTGATTGTTACCTTGTTAAGCGCCCGGTAGTCCACGCACATCCTTAGCGTCTCATCATGCTTCTTTTGGAATAGCACTGGTGCGCCATAAGGTGCTTTCGACGGTCTCATCTTCCCAGTCCTTAACAGCTCATCGAGTTGGCGACGTAGCTCCTCGAGCTCACTTGGGCACATGCGATAGGGTGCCATCGCGGGCGGTTTGGCACCCGGTTTCAACTCGATCTTGTGATCCACCTCCCTCCTAGGTGGTAGCTTGTCGGGTAACTTCACCGGCATCACGTCCTTGTTTTCCTCAAGGACAACTTGAATAAGAGGTGGTATGTGAGTATGTCCGTCGGCCCTTCCGTCTCATCATCCACCTTGAGTACGGCTAAGAATGTCGATTCTCCCTTCTTCACCCCCTTGGCTACTTGCATAGCCGACAATGTCTTAACCCCGCTTGGCCGCTCATCGGGAGTTTCCAATGTCGGTACCATGCACGGTGAACCCTTCTCAAGAATGCAAACCGTGTTAAATGATGGCATAGAGATCGCAGTTACCTGTCTCAGGAAGTCCATCCCTAGAACAATCTAAGTGCCTAGACGTAGATCCACGCCTCGTGCCACGCCATTCAAGGGTTGAGCCTTGGTGTTAACTGTCTTGAGCCAACCCTCGCCTCTAGACCATTGAAGACCAACCCTCTTGGCTTCCTCCTCAGTCACAAAATTATGCGGTGCGCCCGTCTTCACCCCCTTGGCTACTTGCATAGCCGACAATGTCTTAACCCCGCTTGGCCGCTCATCGGGAGTTTCCAATGTCGGTACCATGCACGGTGAACCCTTCTCAAGAATGCAAACCGTGTTAAATGATGGCATAGAGATCGCAGTTACCTGTCTCAGGAAGTCCATCCCTAGAACAATCTAAGTGCCTAGGCGTAGATCCACGCCTCGTGCCACGCCATTCAAGGGTTGAGCCTTGGTGTTAACTGTCTTGAGCCAACCCTCGCCTCTAGACCATTGAAGACCAACCCTCTTGGCTTCCTCCTCAGTCACAAAATTATGCGGTGCGCCCGTGTCCACCAATGCCCTTGTTGGTTTCCCATTGATGTATGCCTCAACGTACATGAGCCCCTTGCTTGTCATCGTAGGCATCGGCTTTGCCTTGAGAGCATTAAGGATTTGGAGAGATCCTATCTTGCTCGCCTCCTCGCCTCGGGCCTCCGCTTCTTGTTACTCCACTATGGCAGACAAAGAACCGAGCTTAGGACAGTCCTTCATGGTATGTGGTCCTTTTCACACGAAGCAACCACCCTTCGGTACAAAGGACTTCTTTTTTGCCTCGTACTCCTCGCGTCCCAAACTCTTATCTCCCTTCTTGAAGAATGGTTTTCGTGGGTTCTCTTTTCCCACATTGTCATGTCTCTCTCCCCCACATTTGACAGGGTTCTTGTCTTTTCTCTTGGATGCCTCCCCATAACTATGGTGTTGGAAGTCTGTCACGGATTCAGCAGCGGCAATGGCTTCATCCACCGTTTGGACGTTCCGCCGTTGCACCTCTTGTTTAGCCCAACTTTGTAACCTATCCACGAAATAGAAAAGTAGGTCTTTTTGGGACAAGTTGGGGATTTGGAGCATAAGGGTTGTGAAGTCTTTCACATAGTCTCGAATCGTACCTCTTTGTTTCAACTCCCTTAGCTTCTTGCGTGCCTCGAAGACGACGTTCTTCGGATAGAAATGCCTTTTTAACTCCTTCTTGAAGTCGTCCCAAGTGTCAATCCGTGCAACGCCCCGCTCTATGTCCGCATGCCTCCTTCGCCACCATAGCATGGCCGTATCCGCTAGGTAGGATGTGGTCGTCTTGATTTTCGTTATCTCATCCTCTAGGTTGCGGTTGTCAGAGTATTGCTCCATTTGCCACAAGTAGTTCTCGACTTCCTTAGCATCTCGAACTCCATGGAACTTAGAAGGCTTCGGATAGTCAACCTTAGGGGTGTTGGTTAGGTTGATCGTTGCCCCACCACTGGCAGCAGCCTTTTTACACAACGCCAACTCTTCACGCATACCCTCAAGACTAACTTGCAAAGATTGGATAGCATCCATTACCTTTTCCTCCAGCTGAACAAATCGGGCATCGAGGTCCCCCCACATCATCCTTATAAGGCTAAGTTGCTCAAACATATGGTTCTCCAGCAAGTTTGCGCCGTTCTCGACCCTCTCGAGCTTAGCGCCCAGCCCTTCACCAGCTTCCTCCAAAGCAAGAATCTCCCCTCGAGCTTTGCTTTGATCACGCTTCTACTTGCCATGGTTAGGATTAGCATCCCTCCCACGTTCCTCGGTGAAGTTGGACATGTTAGTATCAACGTTTCCAGTCATGCTCCCAAATGTGCACAACACGAACTCGAACCTGAACGCGGCTCTGATACCAACTGTCACGGACTTGTTCCCTTAACAAGCTCACGCGCGGCCTTAGCTCCTTTCTGCCCTTTGCAGTAGCTAAGTCAGCCTAGAAAACGCCTTAGTGTTGTGTGTGCTAAGTGATTGGCTAGAAGGAAATGTGGTAAAGGACAGAACACTTGAAGAAAGCTCAAGACTTTATTGAATGCTTGGAAACTTCGATGTGTACAAATGAACCACCTTGAGGAGTATTTATACTTGCCCTCCTCCTCAATGGATGGTTGAGATCTATTTGATCTAACAGATATGGTTTAATTCTTGAATATTCTATACAACTCTATCATATTCTAGAGTATTATACTATACTCTATACAAGTGTACATATATCTACACGAGTCACCTAGCCACAGTTATGTCGTGGCATAATTATATGCCATGCCGCGGCGTATCAGCCTGCCATGCCGTGGCATTACTGAGAAAATTGGGAGACTCGTGACACCCCACTCTCCTGAGGCCTTTGGAACGCCTTACGCTCGAGGCGGTCTTGGACCCCTCGGCGATCTCGCGCTCCTCCTAACCTCTCGAGGGCAGAGGTCCGAGGCCTGTCTTAGTTCGCACCGCACTGGTCCCGGGACTGGACTTCCTGGGAAGCGGTGTCCTGAACCACGACCCCTTCGTTATTCCCTACCCGAAGGATAGGGTTCACGAAGGGGGTGGAGGCGGGGGAGGGACGACATTTTCCCCAACCTGTGGTTGGAGTGGCACCAGGTTGCCGAAGGCACCCGGATTCTAGGTGAGTGTCTGGATGAAGGCAGAAAATGCTGACTGCACGTCAATAGTGAGGACCGGGGGGCTCACTTGGTTTTCACTCCGGTCCTTTCTTCGGGTCTCGATGCCGAGGCGGGCATCGGGGCGTAGGTCAACAGTAGCCTGTTCCAACCCAGCGATGACTCCGCTCTCGAGATCCTTGTTGGAGGCTCCGGAGGCGTCGATTTCGTCGAGGGCCGGGTTATTGTCTTTGAGGTTCTTGGACTGGGCACGAGTGGTTCTTCCTATCTTTTGTGTTTGGCGAAGGGGAGGGTTTCTTACTTGATTGTTCGACCTCTCAACGAGAGTACCAAATGATGGATAGTGTACCCGGGGGGTAACTTATCCGAGGGGTTATTACGGTGAATAACCTAGAGAGAAGTCAGAGCAATAAGTAAGAGAGAGAAAGTGTATTCGAATACGTGAACTTGTGATGCCTTACAATGGGGAAGAGGCTGCTATTTATAGCAGTAATAAATGTGATAAGAGTACACGTGTCGTCAATCTAACGGTCGAGGTGTCACCTCAATCGGGATGGCACCGGCATTCGCATGTGCACCGCATTAAATGCGGTGGGTGGACGTGATGCCGCATTAAATGCGGTTGTTGCTTGTCTCTCAAGGGAATCTTCGATGTCTGTGTGTATCCGAAGGCTCCCCTCTGGTCGAAGGCTCTGTGTATCCGAAGGCTACCCAAGTGCCGAAGGCGGCATGAGCCGAAGGCTTCCTGGTTTCTGCCGTTTTCTTCCAGTAGGGTTGTATGCCTAAAATCAGCTGTTTCCTGGAATCTAGAGCCTTCGGCCATAGGGCCGAAGGCTTCCATATGTGCATCGTGGGCTTCTTAAGACTTGGGCTGCTGTGCTTGGGCTTCGTGTGCTCGTTGGGCTTGATGGGCTTGAGTAGTAAAAATAGGAGTCTGTAGGCCGGGGGTCCCTGGGCCATATGCTCCATCAAATACATTTTGCCCGAGGAAAATACGTGAGGAAATAAATTGCCAGGAGACTAATATATTGGTTCAAACTTTAAAAAAATGTTCATGTTCATTTTTTATTATTTCTATTGCATAAATCATAAGCAATCCAAACATATGCATAAAAAATTAGAAATATTAATCACATTTTGTGTACTGTGAACTTTTTCAGGTAAATCCATACAGAAGAAAATAACTCTCTTTAGTATTTTCTTTTCTCTTCGTACCATTTTATGGAATCCAAACATATCCCAATTGAATTTCAACGGTATAATTATAATACCAACCCTAAGCTATGCAACAAAGTTGGTGTTATTTAATAAGTGCCTTTAAATAAGGTAGAGGGATAAGAAATTTACCCAGCGAAGTCTTTTAATCTTTTCCAGATGCCATTATCTTCTATATCATCGGTTCTCTCAATAGCAGACCAGGACTCAATTTCTCTCTCCGTACTTCTAGCTGCAAAGCACAAACAATTTTACAAATTGTGGTAGTATAAACTATAGAGACGGTAATATCATATCCTTTAGGTTTAGTGTGCGTTTATTACATCTAATTTGGAATTTTTATAGCTTATTTTTGGATCTATATATAAGCTATAAACCCGGTTTCATAAATATAATAGAACTTACAAGAAACACGTAGTCGAAAAGTTATCACATAATCTCATATAGCTTAAAAAAGGCTCATCATTAATTTTTTCCCTTTTTCCTACTAATAACCTTGTTGTTTCACAAAAAAATAACAACATTTATACTGTAAGTTCTAACATGAATTACTGTGTTCACTTTTCAGCTATTAGTTATTGACTTATCAGATTTAAGCAAATTTACATCTATCAACTAGATTTTCAGCTCCGTGTTCCGAACATGCCCTTATATAACTTGTGTTGAAGATCAATTATTAACTGCTTGTAGAGTAGTAAACTCAAAACTACATTTGAGGTTCTCATCATGTTCGATTGATACTCTAATCCTAGAATTAGGAGAGAAAATTGTATGTTGAAAAAGTTGTGGTAGAAGATAACATAAATTACAAAATATTACCTCCGTCCCACTCAACTTTGCCAAGTTGATGTTAGGTGGAAAATTAGAATAGTAAAATTTGTGTGGTTGAGGTTTGTGCAGAGGAGAGACAAATGAACAGAGCCACGAAAACATTGCTTTAAAAGGAAAGTGGCAAACTTTTTTGGGACAAACAAAAAAGGAAAGTTGGCAAAGTCCAGTGGGACGGAGGGAGTATGTTTTTTAATAATGACAACTTTTATGTACTTCAGAGAATTCATGTACATTAAATAAATTTCATGCATACCGGTTTGCTGAATGTTGGTAAGAGTTTTATTCCAAGACACAGGCCTGCTATTCAAGGACGCAAGCTCCTCAAGTAACTGTCGTTCCTTTGCGCTGCATTTAGGGATCAAATACAAACAGAGAGAGAGAGAGAAAGAAGACGTAATAACATATAATTTCGGGTGTTGTGCTAAATTTCAGAGAAAGCCTATCACAAAAACAAATTAATGTTTATAATAATATGATCACATATCCATACCTGACACGTTTTGGTATACTAACTTTTACAGTAAACAAATGGTCGCCACGTATTAAGGGTTTATTTAGCTTAGGGGCACCTTTGCTTGCCAAGACAAGCACATCACCAGGTTGAGTACCAGGAGGAATCCGGAGGTCAGTTGTCCCTTCAACTGTTTTAATCTACATAAAATCCTATACATCATGAACTCTTTATAACGTTGATGACACTTTCAGTATGTTATGAAGTTCTACTCATTGAAATACACTGAAAATGATCAATTTAGGCACTCTCTCCTTCCAAATACAAAAACCTCTACTCTGGTGTTAAAAAATCAACATCCACTTTTAAGTATAGTTCTTGTTAAGGCCAAGCAGCGAGCGGTTTTAAGTGACCACTCATAACTTGTAAAAAGATTGCCCCTTGTTTGAATTGAATTGAAATAAAGCTGTACCATACTCAAGAATAAACATCACTGTTTTTTGCTACTACCTCTGTCCTGAAAAAATGAGTTTTGTTTAACCCAAGTATAATTTTTAATTTTAAAGGTGAAACTTTTTAATTCGCAAAGTACAACTATTGGAAATCATCAATTCTTGGTGTACTCATAAATTCATTTGTTGGTTTAACAAAATTCAACAAACTTAACTCATTTGAGACACTTTCGTTCAATACTCTCTTTTTGGGACAAAAATAGATTTGCCAATGCGCCTTTTGGAAGTAGAGAGTATTAAATGCCATATATAAAGATGTATGGTTGATACACAGGTACAGTTGGTACCATCAATCATGAAGTGAAAAGTGCAGAGCATTTAACCTTGACAAGAGCTCCCAGTATTGCATCAAGATAACTAACTGAAATGACTGAAATTAGATTTATGCCATCTCTTTGAATCTCTGGTATCTCTTCAATCTCAAGATAAACAAAGAGGTCTCCCGGAGGTCCCCTGTAGACAATGAAAAATGAGTAGGTTATACAACTAAAAAACATAAGTGGATAACTTTGCTTTATTTGACAGCATTTTAATCATTATGGCTTGCATACTAGCTTTGTCCCAAAGAAAAAACAGAGATGTTTTTTAAGATACAACTTTTGAATTCTGGAAAGGGACATCTCTTAAGATTCATGGAATCCTACTTGCATCTTTAAAAAATATTTTCCTGGTATAACTAAATTTATCATATAGATCACGTTTGTGACTATTGTTGATGATTGTTTGGGCAACTTTCATGAAAACATAGTTCAGTTTCATATAATAGGACTTCAGATGTACGCAGCACAGAGAGACTGATTCCATATGACCCATGATGAAAATCACATTGAAAATTGCATGGATTGACCGCTGCTTCATAAGAAAGAAGCACAAACAATTTAGTGAGGCATTTTGCTTTATTCCATCATATTCTCAAGCCAAAAAATAGTGAGTCTTTGGCTCCATTGAAAATGATGGATTAAAAAAACATGAGCACACATGATAATTTTGTGTTTGGTAGAAAGGAACTAGAGCCTTTCTCAAAACAGTATTTTGTCCATTCGTACTTCTATATCTACCAAATTTGCATGTTCCTTTTTATTCATTGAGTTATGAAATATATGCACATAAATGTACACATTTGAATTTTGCATTACTTTAATATAGGTTTGCATTACTTTAATATAGGGTAAGATCATATGAGAATATCATCTTAGGAGAGAAATGAGAATGATTCTAGAGCGTTTGATTTAGGTATCGTGCATCATGTAAAACAGAAATGTGCATATAAAAAATTGGAAAATGTGCATTCCAAGTGAGCAAAAGTTTAAACGCAAATGTGCACATTTGAATTTTGCATTACTTTAATCATAAATGTGCGTTTTCGTGAACGATAAAGTGCATCGTTTTTGAGCGTTCTCATGTCTGACTTTAAGGACTGTTCTCACCTGAACCACACCCTTAATATATATATATATATAGAGAGAGAGAGAGAGAGAGAAATATTCCTGTCCGGAATTCCGGACAGGAACCACCGTCCGGACGGCGGCGTTTCGGCCTCTTCCCGGTCGACTTTTTTGATGAAATTTTTATGGCATGTTCTTCATCAAGTCTAGTTTATCCACACAAAAAAATAAGCTAAAAATTCAATCGGGAAGGCCGTCAAATAATTTTTGGAAGTTAACTGCGTTTTAGATGTATATTTTGGCGCAGTTATCTTCCAAAAATCATTTGACGGCCTTCCCGATTGAATTTTCAGCTGAAATTTTTTATGGATGAACTAGACTTGATGAAGAATATGCCATAAAAATTTTCATCAAAAAATTCTACCGGGAAGGGCCCCAAAAGCCGTCGTCCGGACGGCGGTTCCGGTCAGGAATTCCTGACCGGAAGAGTACTCTATATATATATATATATATATATATATATATATATATATATATATATATACTATAAAACTAATGCGGCTAAGCCCGTTAGTAAGGCCTATTTCCGTTTGTACAGCTCTGATGACAGCTCCCATTTGGCGCTGAACAAACTAACACCTCCCTCCTGTTTGCTTCCCTCTTCTTTCTTCCTTCACAGTTCAAAAAAATTGGGGCCACATGCGGAGATCGATGGTTGTGAGGCCAGCCTTCAGCGGCTACTGTTTCTCAGAGCCGGCTGTAAAAAAGCAAAAGATATCTTCGATCTTTCTTGGGTTGATTTTCAGAGCTCATTGGCGCCATTTCTTGAGTTTTCTTGAGCAGGTGTTCTTCGAAGCTTTGGCGCCGTTTCTTAGGTTTTCTTCCGCAAGTATTCTTTGAAGCTGTAAGTTCTATCATCTTCTCATTTCCGTGCTCCTTGTTTCTTACTCGAATTTGATTTACATATGAACTTTCATATTTTATTCGTAACATATAATGGAATCCCTGTAATGATTTTTTCTAGAAATGTAATATTTTATGGTAAAACAATTATAAGATGAAATTAATTAAATGTATTTTAGTTGAATTAATCTCCTAGACTCCCATTCGTATTAAACTTTTATCCAAATTAGAGTCCTATTCGTCTCTTTTTTTACACCCCATTTAAAACAATAGATATTTTGGATGTAGTCAGTCAGATGTGTGTTTAAAGATCATATCAGGTTAGTTATTGTGCTTAATAACTATAAACTCAGAATGTTTTCAAACAAAACGAGAAAAGGTACTGAACTAATGATCAAGATAAATATTCAGAATTGTAACTGAATATAAAAATAAAAAAAGCAACTGATAAGTTCATATATCTATGTTTTACCCCTGTGGACCTGCATCCCCCTCACCAGCAACTCTGAGGATACTGCCCTTGCTCACTCCAGGTGGTATTTTGACTTTGATATCTTTCTTCACTCGTCTCCACCCCTTCCCTAAGCATATACTACAAAACTCAGAAATCACTTCACCATTGCCTCCACAATTTGGACATACAGAAACCTATATTATTAACCAAAGCCCAGTAAGTGTAAGGCATACTCAAGAACTTACTCCTGCAGATTAATAATAAAATAATATCCAACAAGCCGATCCTTAGACAAGAAGAATAGTTGTGTGAAGCACTCGATTTACTTATCTTCTACACAGCAGGCCATAGTCTAATTGACTAAAGAGATGGAAGTACCTTCTCAAAATTCAACTGACGAGAATATCCAGGAATCCAGAGAACCATTTTTTATCATCACTATTGCTTCCACCACAGCACATTAACAGGGATTCTTACTCTTGGACAGTTATTTTGCATATAAAATGAAGGGAGCAGAAAAGGAAAAGAAAAAATGGCATTCAAATTAAGAAACTTAAAGACAGTAGTGTAATCTTAATCCCAACTAGTTGGGGTCCATGGGATTTATATTTTTAGTGCCGATTGATTAGTTGATACTATATATTCATGCAATAAAAGAGCACAAATTGAATATTTGGAATCTTCTCATAAAGGAATAATGCAAAGAGATTCTGAAATCATTGTCATCATAGGTGGATGAGTTGAGATAGTTAGTATTGTCATGTCCCATTGCATGATTGGCATGGTGACATCAACATGCAAATCATTTAATAGGACAGATTTGCCTTTAACACAAAAGGCACAAATCTATTCACAACTCTAGCCACATATGAATTCTAGTTCTAGCAAACTTACCACATAGCATGTCTATGATTGGAAATACCAAATGAGTCCATGAGACCAGAGGAACAAAATGCCAAACTTATCAATCACAGATTCCATAGAAAAAACTTTAAATTTTATATTTATGAAGCACTGAGAGTAATTAAAAATCTCAGACCAACTTAGATAGTGTAGATTATTTTAATTATTGCATATATTAGATTCTGTGATATTTTATTTATTAGGCGATATCTTAGAGAAGATCACAATATATTAGGAGACTTTAATCAGCAGACTTTAATCAGCAGGATTCTTTCCTTATTTTACTACTTAGGTTGAATCTCTAGTTGTATATATATTGTAATCTTCTTCTTCCAATAATAACCAGAATAGAGAAACCTTTCTCTATTTTCTTCCAATCTACACGGTATCAGAGCGGGTGATTCTCTAATTTGATTAAGTTCAGATCATATGGGATGACCACCGGGCGAGATAGATCTATCTATGTCACCTCTGAACATTCAGAGTTTGTCCTAACCGCAGATGGCAGCAACCAGAATGTCAATGGGAGCAAGCCACCATTCCTAACCATTCAGATTCAGTTATTACTTGCCATAAACTCAACGACAATAATTATCTACAGTGGACCCAGTCAGTGATGATGTATGTATCGGGAAGAGACAAGGAGGACTATTTAACAGGTGATGCACCTGCTCCAGATCAAGGAGATCCAGGCTACAAGAAGTGGAAGAAAAAGTAAAGAAAGTCCATTAGGGACGACATAAGAGGCACGAAAGATAGAAATGGGTCTGCGTAGAAAGAAGCCGATCATTTTAGTCATCATTTGAGCTCTTTAGTCCAAGGTCAGTACTATAATACGACATCTATTAAGTATCATTATTTTTGTTAATTAAAGATAATATGTTGGTATTAACATATATATACTTTAATGTTGATTCCATTTTAAGTTAATTGATGATACCGTAAGTACTACAGAGAATAATAAACGAAGTCTGGTTTATTGAATTCCATTTTTAATTAATTAAAAATACGTTGTAATTAGTAGCCAGTATAATTACATCCATTAAAATGTCATTTCCGATTAGCTAAAAATAAGAGTTTATTTATATTACATGTCATTTTGGAAATGTTATATATGTATACGTGTTCCACTAAAGTTGGAAATTAAAGACCAGGGTAAGTTACATGAGCGTTTAAACATTTGAGCTACAGTTGTTTATTTAAAACCCCGTGATTATATGTATCAAGTAATATATATGTCATCCTTATATATTACTCCCTCCGGTCCCTAATGAAGTTTACACTTTGACTTCACACATATTAAGGAAATAAATTTGACTTTACTGTAGAATACACTATTTGACACTGTTTGGCACTGTTTTGCACTGTTTGGTGTAGATTTGTTTGCCAATTAAGGAAAATAAGGAAGTGTAAAGTTTAATATGGGACGACCCAAAAAGGAAAGTGTAAAGTTAATTAAGGACCGGAGGAAGTAAGTAAAGTATACGTGTATACATGTCTTTGTATTTGATCTTTAATCAATTAATAAATGTGTACGATTATTATAAGGATCTAAATATGTATATGTAATATGTGGATCTAAATAAGTTCAGAATTTATAAGCATTTTATTATTATTATTATTAACTACAAATAATAGCATTGGGAGAATTGAGTGTAACTACAAATATTAACTACAAATATATTAGTAATATACTCCCTCTGTCCCATTTAAACGTTCCCACACGGTTTACGACGTTTGACTGACCATAAAGTTAACTGATCCCTTTCATTAGTAGAATTATTTTTAGTACATAAAATTTACATATTCAGAAACTAATTAAAACCGCTACAAAACCTGATCAAGAAAATTGAAACTTGATAAAAGTTGGATACATAAAGAAAAAGTTTGAGAACAATGCACGTTGACCGGAGAATAGTGGATGGGAACCTTTAAATGGGACGGAGGAGTATATATTAACTACAAATGTTCATAATTATTATTATTATTAACTATAAATATATTAGTAATATATATATACTACAAATAATAGCATTTTATTATTATTATTATTATTATTTATAAGAAATTTGATCATCTAGATATATATTTTAAAGAAAACTAAATACAAGGATGTGTAAAACAGCTTACTGTACAAAACAGCTCAAGAGATTTGGGAGGCTATGTAAGAAACCTACTCAACTTAGATAATACTTTTGAATTAGTTGAGGTTGAATCAAGGCTGCATAACCTCCGGCAGGGAGAATTGAGTGTAACTCAATACTTCAACAATCTTCAAAGACTCTAGCAGCATCTTGATGTATTTGAGAAATACAGCTGGTCATGTTCTAAGGATATGAAGCTATATCAGGAGATCTGTGAGAGAAAGAGAGTCTTCAAGTTTCTGCTAAGCTTGGACAAAAGTCTAGATGATGTTAGGGGCAGAATAATAGGAATGAAGCACCTTCTCACACTCAAAGAAGCCTTTTCAGAAGTAAGAAGAGAAGAGAGCAGGAAGAAGGTAATGATGGGCCCAAAAGACAAGACCAACAACAAGGCATTGAAGGTTCGACCTTGTTTACCTCTTCCAGACAGTGAAAATAAGAAAAAGGGGAGGCCATGGTGTGATCACTGTAAGAAATCAGGCCACACCAGAGAGATATGTTGGGATTTGCATGGTAAATCTAAAGATTTCAAACCCAACAAAGGGAAAGGACTCAAAGAGTCTATGTAACTATTGGACATAAAGAAGAAAGGTGCACCTCGAACTCTGCTGTGTTTACCAACAAGTAGATTGAAGTCCTTCAACACTTAATAAGTCAAAGCGAAGGGCTCACACCACCAACTAGCTTGACTGCTCAGAAAAAAGTAATACCTTAACAGCCCTAGTTGCACAAAGTCAGCCCTATTGGATTGTTGATTAAGGGGCCTCATATCATATGACTGGAGATAGTAAGTTCTTTACTGAATTTGTTCCTATGAATGATGATGCGAGTGTGAAAATTGCTGATGGAACTACTTCAGTAATTATAGGGACTGGTAAAGTGATTTTTTTTGACAAGATAGTGCTTAACAATGTGTTATATGTCCCAGATTTAAAATTTAATCTCTTATCAGTCAGTATATTGAACAATGATACACATTCCCTAACTAAATTCTCCTCTCAATTGTGTGAATTTCAGGATTTGAATTCAGGGAGGATGATTGACTGTGCTAAGCAAAGTGGTGGGCTCTATCTTCTCTCACACTCACCACATCCTACCAACAAGGCAACTTGCGGTCAACAACACAATCTTCACCATAAATCCTTAGGGAGTCTTAGCAAGAGTCAATTTGATAATCAAATTCAGTTATGGCATTATCGCCTTGGTTATCCTAGTGTTTTGTACTTGGAAAAATTATTTCCTTCATTGTTTATTCATAAAAGTTAAAAGTTTTGCTTTTGATTGTGAAACCTGTCAGCTTGCTAAACATACCAGAAATAACTATCCTAGCTTACCTTACACGTCGTCCAAACTCTTTTCTCTCATTCACAGTGATGTTTGGGATCCATCCAAAGACAATATTATCACTGTGTCAACAGTCAACAGTCAACATTATCTTTCAGTTCAAAACCAAGATTCAATTTTTTAAAACTGACAATGCCAACGAATATTTCTCATCCAACTTAGGAGAGTTTCTGTCCAAAAAGGGGGTTATACACATTAGCTCCTGTGTTGACACCCACAACAGAATGGGGTAGCAGAGAAAGAATAGACACTTTGTGGAAGTTGCTAGAAGCCTTATGTTCACTACCCACACTCTTAGTTAATCACTACTGGGGAGAAGTTGTCCTGACTGCAGCTTACTTCATAAATAGGATGCCTTCTGAAGTTCACCAATATAAAACACGATACCAAATTCTTTTTAATTTATATCTTCACATCCCTCTTACCAACCTTCCACCAAAAATACTTAGCTGTAAAGCATTTGTTCACATCCATTCTCCACATAGGTCAAAGTTGGATCCCAAATCATTACCTTGTTTGTTCATAGGTATGCTGCAAACCAGAAAGGATATAAGTGTTATTCACCTACCACCAAGAAAGTTTACTCTGATCAAAACTCAGTTCAAAACCAAGATTCAAGTTTTTAAAACTGACAATGCCAACGAATATTTCTCATCCAACTTAGGAGAGTTTCTGTCCAAAAAGGGGGTTATACACATTAGCTCCTGTGTTGACACCCACAACAGAATGGGGTAGCAGAGAAAGAATAGACACTTTGTGGAAGTTGCTAGAAGCCTTATGTTCACTACCCACACTCTTAGTTA